CCAAAAAAAAAAAAAAAAAAAGCCCAGGAAGACACTAGGATTTAGGTCAACAAACAATGAACTTGCAGGCTGGTAGCTAGGACCACAGTCTGCCTCTATGCAGAGCCAGAGTGGGTGTTGGGGCAGCCAAGGGCACAGAGAGTCCTGGTGGAAAGCTCCTCAAATAAAGTGTTTGGCCAACCTTGTGGGCACTCAGAGACAAGGCCTGGCCAGTGCAAGTTGTTATCAAAATAGCCATTTTCTCCTGCCACCTCCAGAAGGACTGACCGACTTTCTCAGTCTAAGGCTAGATTGTGTACCTCTGCACACTGGGACAGAGGTACACATCAAAGCAATGTTTCACTCTCTCATCTTGAGCCTCTTTCCCCAATTCTCTCATTTTTGATGGGCCAACAGTCTCTCACACATTAAAAAACGAAACACACAAAAACAAACACACACCAAAGCCAGAGCTCAGCTGGCAGTAAGAACAGCTGCCAACTTTCCCTTTTAAATAGAGACCTCAGCTCCATTCTCTACTGGCAGAGGCAGGGGGTGACTCAGAGAAAGGATAAGGGGGAAGTGTGGGAGGGCAGAGGCAAACATGGGAAACCAAGACCTGTATCCCCAGAAGCTGGTGTTCCAGCCCAGACATCTTAGTCACTTGGTTAGTGACAGCTTCCAAGATGCAAACTTTTTTTTGGTAAGTTTTAGAACTGCAAAGGAGGATGAGGAACCTATCTCCAGAAGCCTCTAAAGACTTACACCAAATGATATCAGAGCATATACAGAATGTTTACAAATGAGTATTGGGAGTGGCTATTAAGTGCTAAGTGCTCTGCTCTGTTCAATGTTTGAACCTCTGTTAAAAAGAAAAGGTTTTTATTAGACTTCCCTTTGCATAATGGAGTCTGTATGAGAGGTCTTCAGAAAAGAAGTCTGTATAGGAGGGGTCTTTAGAAAAGGTCAGGGTGGGCCGACCCCGTGGTGCACTCGGGAGAGTGTGGTGCTGATAACACCAAGGCCACGGGTTCAGATCCCATATAGGGATGGCCGGTTAGCTCACTGGGTGAGCGTGGTGCTGACAACACCAAGTCAAGGGTTATGATCCCCTTACTGGTCATTTAAAAAGAAAAGAAAAGAAAAGGTCAGGGAGAGCCCTGACCTGCCCCCGAGCAAGGGGCGTGCATGCCCTTAGAGTCAAGGGACGGGGTATAAAAGAATGGGGGATGTCTGTGGGAAGCAAATGGTCTATGCTCATGCAAGAAGCTGACAGCAAAGGGCTTGCTTTGTTCAACCTCAAATCATTTCCACATCAAGTTCTCCCCACAACTTGTTTAAAAAGTGAGCTCCAGGAAGAATGATTCACTAACCAGGAAAAACAGTTTCCTTTCTAGACAGCACCAAAGGAAAAGAGATTTGAAATGGGGGCCACCTCTTCCCCAAAAGTGCAAGGAAGGAAGTATGGTGTGTGTGGGGGGGCCTCAATTAGTAATCAGAAGTGCCCTAGAAATATTTCATAGGGCTGGCTTATTTGGTTAGATTGCAGTGTTGATAACACCAAAGTCAAGGGTTCAAATTCTGTATTTGGCCAGCCACCAAAAAAAAAAAAGTTCATAGTTTAAGATGTTTTCTCATTTTACCCCAGTCAATGATGAGGCAAGGGCTGTGCTTTCTGCTTCTTCGAGATGCCTTCCTCTCAATGCCTATGAGCATACTAAGAACTCAGAGTGCCTACCAAACGAAGTAATTTTTAAAAACAGCTAACATTTATTGAGCGATTGCACAACCATTATCTCCTTAAACTTTAAAACAACCTCCCATTTTTCAGATAAGTAACTTGACACTCAGGTATTAAATGCCCTGCTCAAGGCCGCCCAGCACATAGGTGACAGTCTGTGCACAAACTTGGGCTGCCTGCACACTCCTGCTCCTTCCTTATCATGCCATCCCCTGCTGTGCAAGAACAACGGGGGCAACACCCACCCTCTGTGTTTGATTGGGGCTGCTGTGTGAGAAAGACTCTTTCTATGGCAGCAGCTTTGCTGGCACGGTCTGGGACTGGCTCCAGCAACAGACGCAGTGATCTTGTAGTCCCTAAGTACTCCCAACAGTGGGAGGAGCCGCCCAGGGCAAGGCAGGGTGACAGAGACAGAGGGAAAACCACAATGGAATTACAAGCTGGTTATTACCATGAATCCACATGACATATAATCTTAGCTGGGCAGCAGAGTGTGGCTGGGGCAGTAGAGGAGGTATGAATGGGTGGGGAGAGGGGAACAGAAAACCAAGCCCCGATTCCAAAACACCAAAGCAGCTGGGACTGAGGGCTACTGGGCTGGGGAGTAACCAGCACCTATATCTAAGTCTTGTCCCTACCCAACTGGTGGATTTCCAGATCTGCCCAGATAGAATGGGATTTTTTAACAAGCCAGAAGGGGAGGCAAACAAGTCTTGTGCAGTGGCTTTCAACCTTGTCTGTACATCAAAGTCATCTGTGCAGCCAGCCCCTGGAGATTCCCATGAAGGTTTGGAGTGGGGCCCAGTATCTGTAGGTGCCACTGAAGCACAGCCAAGGCTAGAGCAGCTGGCACAGCAGGAATGAGCACAGGCACTTGCTTCAAGCACTACAGGGTACTACTGTCTCCTACCACTTCTGGGTCACCTTGTAGAAGCCACCTGAGCTAAGCCTCAGTGTTCTCATCTCTAATATGGGCACACCAGGGTTAATGACAGTGTCTGCCAATTGATCACTAATCAGTAGGTAATAGTATTGACATGATTATTTATAATTCCTTCTCTAAGACTGTTGGTAAATAGACCCCAACCTCCCCAATGAACCGAGACAGGCTTGACCTGGCATAAACTGGCTGGTGACATGTTCTGCCCAGTCACTCGTCCTGCCTTCCAGACACCTGAGCAGGCACACACAGCACTTTTTATCGTCTGTTGCCTCGTGGTTTTCCTGGCCCTGCTTAGTGATCACACGAGTAAGGGTGTCCAACCTTCCCAGACAGTAGCACCGAGGAAGCCAATTTTGCCATGAAAGGTGCACGGAGATAAGGCGGTGCCTAAGACAGGTGAAGGCTAGACCCAGGATCCCAGGAAGTTTATGCCCACCCCTC